GCGGGCCAGCGTAAGACTGATGACTGATAGCTGATGATCTGGCCAGCTGTGAGACTCATGGCACACTGGCCCATGATAATCCAGTTCTTCAACGGTTTCGTGCTATCGCAAATAGTGACTACGCCGGAAGCAGTCCCGAGAAATGCTCCAATCTTGACTGCGCCTTATAGCACCACACCAGTCACTACTTCCGACTCCGCGCCCGATTCGACATCAAGCTTGTCTTCCGACATAAAACCCGGCTCAACACCCAAATCGGTGACAGCACAAACCAATCTGACTCCAACAGTCACATCTATAATATGTCAAGTATCGCCGGGATTACTAACCACATTTTTGGGCGGCTCGGTAGCATCTTTGAGCGAGCATTAAAGTGGCGTGTCACTCATTGCGCTCGTAGTGGCTGTTGGAAAAGCCTTTTCATACTCATCAGCCTGTTGGTAGCTGGCATCATCTTCTACCGGCGCAGAGCTGCCAAATCAACGAATGGGCGGAAGACTTACACCCTGCTGACACTGCTGAAAACTAGAAGTACCTATATCATCCACCAGAGCTGCCTAAGGAAATGGAAGTCCCATAGCCAGAGCTCCCGAGTGGAAGAAGCGTGGAATAGCGATGTGATGTGCACTGAGCCCCATGTGTGGCTTGGACGGTGATTTTAGTTGAGAGACATCGTATCTGTCCGGCACTTCAGCTGGCACTAGGATAGTGGCCCAAACACCAAAACAACCGACACGCTCTTGAATCTGCTGCGTCAAACATATCTGGGGCCAGAGTATTTCGAAAAGGCACCTCCAAAAACCCGCCTTTTGGAGAAGCGGAGATGTATAGTGTTGTACACCTACACAGATAAGTCTCTAGAAGTTGACACAGTCAAAAGATGACTTGGCAACAAATACATCGGCAGAGCATCAGCAGAGGAATTCCAAGAGCAAATCTTTGGAGAATATGAATTCACGTTGATAGTTTCAGGGGACGATTAATTGTCGAACAGTCAGCCAGAAAGAATAACAATAGGTAACTAGAGCTGGTACCTATAAGAGCACTGGATAGTTTGCGGAAGCGCCAAGCATGACTCGGCACTGTGGAATGATTGTTCAAGCTGCGGTTTTTAAAACCAGATACGACAGCAACTTACTTATCAGTCTTGTAGACTAGTTCAGCGCTGTAAATCTAACGATAACGAGGACCGAAAAGCGTTTTGCACGTACGAATTTCCGTGAATGGGATTTTGCCGGTCTGTTATTATATTGAGAACCGATTCGGTAACCGTGTATTTCCTCCTTAATCTAGAACTCCCTCTTCATGTTCGTCTGAAGGCTAAAAAGCCAAGTATATCGAGTTTTTTAAGCCAGTGGCATGCTGTAGCACAAGCAACGGTCCCTTTATGTACTCGCGTAGCGCGACAACTCCATATATGTATGGATTCTCAAAAGAATGCATTGCGTACAAACGGTGGTTGTAGCTGAGGAGGATAAGCATCACTCCTGGTCGTGTTAGATATCCAGTCAGAATTTTCTCGGCGAGATAGAGATATATAAATAAGTACCGAGTCACAAGGAGGTTCATGTTGGCTTTGGAAGGGTGCTCTGGCTTGTTTGGGTTCACCAGGGAATAATGAATAAACAACGGCGAGCATTCCAAGACTTGGTCTGCGGGAGCTAAAGGGATTTGCGTACTACCCAATGGGTAAACACCGGGACTCTGCTCATGCATAGATTAACTGGCGAGCCATGTCGCAAAGACGAACGCCGGGAAGAACGCAGGGAAGAACGCAAAGAAGAACGCAAAGAAGAGTCCCAGTCTGTGCTTGTCCATTTACAATGTACCCGGCACCAGAGGGGAATTGACAGTTGTTCAAATGGATCGCTGTTTGTTGGTTATTTGCTGTAGTTTTCCATTGGGAGGCTGCTGGGAGCTGATGAAGTGGTAATAAGCAACAGGCAGGCTGCTAGAGGGTCCATCTCACCACCTTTAACTCGCAATAGGATACACGATCATGCATCCATGCATGCTTATATACGTATGCAATACACACGAACGCAGCACATAGGAACGCAATACATACGAGCCCAATACATACGAGCCCAATACATACGAGCCCAACCTTTGCCTATACTCGCCAGCATATGCAGCGGCTGGGCCAGGCCAGGCCAGGTGTGGTGTGGTGTAGTGTGGTGTAGTGTGGTGTGGTGTAGTGTGGTGTGGTGTAGTGCAGCATAGTGTACCAACAAAGGCATTATAATAAGCATAAACAGAAACAGACAACGCCGAAGGTTGGTGTTGAAATGAGGATCCTTCATTAGAAGTCTCAACACGTCTCAAAACGTCAACTCTACTTTCTTTTCTTATTAAAAACGCCGGGTTTCAATCAGGGAAAACTCATGACGAACATCAAATAGCTGGATTAGATATTAGGTAGTGGATCCCGTAGTTACTCCATACCGAGAGCAGATTTCTAGTTCTACCCCGAGGCGCTACGTCCTTAGTCAATAGTCATCATGGCCAAAAACAGTGGACCTGAGAAACTTCGATGGAACATGCTGCGTCATAGCAGTACCAGTCAGTGTCTTCCGGTATCATGTCCCTCTACTCACCGTCGCCGAGATTAAGTATGTATGCAAGTCATTCTCACGATGGCTATTGTCAGACACCAACATCGTATCAGAAAGATGAAGGAGTTTTTTCACGCAGCCATCCGGAAAAGTCTGGATGGGTTTCTCCAGTCCTCACCCCCCGGAACAGGCTAGGTAACATAAACGTCGACAAGAATAATTGTTTGGCAGGGGCAATTACTCGAGAAATACTGGATGATCTGGCTTTTGGTAGCCAATTACATATATTATTCTCACATTGATATGGTAAGCAAGGTGCTGAGGCTTGCTCTGATTGCTCAGTCGGCTGGTAACCATGTACCAAAATGTTGAAATGATGGAGGGGATTTATGGCAAATTTCCAATTCCAATTCAATGCTCTCCTCACGCTAGCCACTCCCTGCTACCCTAGGAGTCCTTAGGCATTACTCGGTATTTGGCAAATGAGATACATCACCCCAGGTTTTTTTTATTGCATGCGAAGCTACCCCTTCGACCGAGGGAGCTCCTCATATGGGGTATATATCTGATGCTCCCCCGATTTCTTTGTTCACAAAAAGACGCTCTTCTTTGATGCCTTGCTCCATCCTCACGTCCTCATTGAAAACGGGAAATACCAAAGTGACGTCAATCTAGCTGCTGCACTGTCGCGCTGTTTTATAAAGTAGAGCGCTCGTTCCTGTCGCAAAACCCCCCAGAACACAAGCTCGCTCGTATACGCCAAAAAGAAAATCGGCAAAAATGTCAACACCAGCTACAGCTACAGCTACAGCTACCTCCGATGGCGCCATTAACAAAGATCACAATGGTACTGGGCAGATGGATCACGCAGCCGATGGCCGAAACGTCACTACAGAGCGTCGCCAGAATTACGGCGGCAATCCGCTAGCTCACATCAACACTGGAGAGTCAGCGCGCTTCCCAGCCTTCGGAGGAGAGTTCCAGCCAGGTCTGTACCGCCCGACCACCGAACGGAAATTCGCCAACCCAGCGCCCCTCGGCCTAAGTGCCTTTGCGCTAACGACCTTCGTGCTCTCCCTGATCAACGTTGGTGCTCGCGGCCTCGCCGCGCCCAACATTGTAGTGTCGCTTGCGTTCGGGTACGGTGGCTTTGTGCAACTGCTCGCCGGGATGTGGTAGGTTAGCTCAGCTTGGCTTCGTCAAATATCTGAATTGGGTGCTGCATAACTAACACACGAACAGGGAAATGGCTGTCGGCAACACTTTTGGTGCCACAGCGCTCTCCTCGTACGGCGGCTTCTGGATTTCGGTCGCCATCATCCTGACTCCTGGTGGCTTCGAGATCGTCGACACTTACACGAGCGACACCTCCGGACCCAATGACTTTAATAACGCGTTCGGTATCTTCCTTATTGGCTGGTGGGTGTTCACCACGATCCTGCTGGCTTGCACGCTGCGGTCCACAGTCGCGTTCTTCCTGCTGTTCTTCTTCCTCGACCTCGCCTTCCTATTCCTGGCCATCGGGCACCTGTTGAGCAAGGACGGCGCCGTCAACACCCCCTGCATCAAGACCGGCGGCTACTTTGGAATATTCGCAGCGCTCGTAGCTTGGTACAATGCCTTTGCTGGTATCGCCGATGATGGGTATGCCCTCTTTGTTCCTCGTTCGTGTAGCAAGTTAACCGTTGTGCAGCAACTCCTTCTTTGTAGTGCCAGTCGCACACTTCCCGTGGTCTGTCAAGGGTCGTGAGCGCAGAGCCAAGACTGCGCATGAGGTCGTTTAAGCTCAGCATGTGATACAGTTGTGTGGGTGGACTATAGATGGCTGGAGAATATTTTGACTTTGGCGCTTTTAGCTTTTTCCTTTGATATCTCCTGGCGAAGCGCGTTGGATATATGAGACTTAAAGCTCATTGGACCTAAAATAGATATTAATACCTACCTTTATCAGTTGACTTCTCCACAGGGGTACATAGTGACACAACTTCATCCTGCAACGTAACTCTATCCATGTGAGATATGAATACCTTAACAGCCATTCTCTTGACTACAGACTATTGTACTACACATGACATCCCTACAATGAGATATTGAATATGTAGAACCATGCACTGACAAAGGAAGGTGGTATGGTGGCAGAATCTGAAGCAGGCTGAAGCGCCTTGCTGCAGGTGTCCTTTAGCTAGTGTCTAGTTTGGATGGACTTGTAGGCTTGATGATTCAAGCCACTGCACCTGATGTTTGTCCAATGCCTAATCCCAATTGTCTAAAGCTGTGCTAATGATAGCTCATGGGTGAATATACTCACCAAGCATAGTAGTACAAAGGTGATGCAGCGCCGTGAAGTGTAACCCTGATCTAACTCCTTGGTACTGTATCCACTTACCCCACACAGGCCCGGTATAAAGGTATATATACAAGTTTTTTGCTGCTAACATCATTATAGGACTTGTGGTGTAGTGGTTATCACGTCTGCTTTACAAGTTGTTACTATTATCGCAGCAGGTCCCCGGTTCGACCCCGGGCAGGTTCACATTATATTTTTGGCTTTTCAGATAGAATTAACAAAGCTCAAAAAGTGATGGAGAGCTGTCAATTCATTCATCTTTTATCGTTTATAAAATACTAATTAATGCTAGTTTTCAATGCACTACGCATGTTTATATTTTAAAAACGACAAGATTGGAGTTAATACAACTTTGACTGTTTTGTCTCTGTCGTTGATATCTGACTATGATCCGAGAGTTTTCTGATACCCCGCAAAATAGCCTGTAAGGAAGGAGCTTCAAGCCTTATAAGAGTTCTGTTCTGTATTCCCTCCCAATAAAGTGCTATAGCCATGATTTGTTCCCTCAGGTATCCTCTCCGATTAGTTTCACGTTGTCGCGAATATGTCTCCAAATCCAACTCACGGGCAAATGTCCTTCGCCCTTCCCTCTGATCTCGTTGCGTACCTCGACGAGATAGACAGCTTCATCAAGCAGAAAATAGCTCCCCTCCAGGAGTCAAACGACAATAACCGCTTTTTCGATCACCGTCGGGAGCATGCACGAACAGACTGGGACAATCAAGGCCTTCCCCGGGATGAATGGGAAAACTTGCTCACTGAGTCACGAAAACTAGCCGATGAAGCAGGCTTCTACAGGTTCTGCCTACCAGGTGAGTTCGGTGGGAAAAACGGGGGTAATCTTTGGATGGCAGCTATTCGTATGCATCTAGCAAAGAAGGGATTGGGGTTGTTCAATGACTTGCAGAATGAACACAGTGTGGTAGGCAACTTTCCGGACGTGCTGATGGTGAGAGAATTTGGAACACCGGCGCAGAAAGAAGAGTTTATTTCAGGACGACTGGAAGGTAGGAGAGGCTTCGCTTTTGGACTGACGGAGCCGAATCATGGAAGCGATGCTACCCATATGTTCACTCATGCAGTCAAGTCCAAGAAAGATGGCGTGGAGGGATGGAAGATTGACGGAGCCAAGATGTGGATTTCTGGGATGCACAAGGCAACACACTGCATTGTATTCGCTCGGACGCATGGCAAAGCTGGTGATGCATTCGGGATCACGGCGTTCTTCGTGCCCAAGACGGCGAAGGGGTTCGTGATCGAAAGCTACGAGTGGACGTTCAACATGCCGACAGACCACGCAACGCTCACTTTCGACGATGTCTTTGTCCCTGACTCGGCGGTCCTAGGAGAACCTGGAGGAGGACTTGCTATTGCTCAAACCTTTGTGCATGAGAATCGCCTGAGACAAGCAGCGAGTTCTCTTGGTGCGGCCGAGTACTGTATCGAGGAAAGCATCAAATATGCAAGAAAGAGGAAACCGTTTGGAGAAGAGCTGAGTCGAAACCAGGCTATCCAGTTTCCTATTGTTGAGCTGCAGACTCAAGCAGAAATGCTGAAGCTGTTGATTCTCAAAACAGCAACGCAGATGGGTGAGTGATTTTAGCTGGTGTCAGACCACTCCACACTTCTCCAACACTCCAAGCTTGAAGATGCTGACCTATTCTAGATGGAATGACACAAAAGGAAATTGAGAACGCACTTGGTGACAAGGTGTCGATGTGCAATGTAAGAAAAATTCCTCAGCAACCTTCATGGCATGCGAGCTCACACAATTACAGTACTGGGGAAATAGGCTATGTACCCAAGCTGCAGACCGAGCAATACAGATACATGGTGGCATCGGATATTCGAGGCACAAGCAGTACGTATTGCGGCTCCCAACTCCATAGTAGCCGCAAGCTAACAAATTCAAGATTTGAACACATATACAGACATCATAGTAAGTCGATAGAGTCTGTGCTTGCCGACACGACACCACTTTGTGCGAACGCTAACTTCAAACGGGGCGGTACCGGATCACCGAAGGAAGTGAAGAGATTCAGATGCGAAAAATCGCAGCTCATCTATTTGGCTACATGGGACCGAGGAAGGCGGAGCTCTCGAAGTTATGATCAGTTGTATGGGAACTGGGGTGTGTGTCAACATCTTTGGACTTCGGAATACTGCCAACTTACATAAGACAAACAAACACAATGATGAGATGTGTAGAAATCAAGGAAAAATAGTGTGAGATCCCAATATATAAACAATTATAGCTAACAGGCCAGATCTTCATCTTTCAGGTGCCAAGTAAAGGGGTTAAGTGAGAAGCCATCCGTTGAACTGCCTGTACAGATAACAAATGACCAAGTGGCAATCCTATAAACGAACAAATCATTGAAAATCGACGCCCGTGTTTAGTTGTTGGGTTCCCTATTTTCCACTGCTAGACAGTAAGTGACGTGCATGCATCCGCTTTAATCACAGATAGCCTGTCAATTTAGCCAGAATCGTCAATCTGAACTGTATAGCAACGTTCTTCATGATATGAATAAGTATGACAGCGGTCAATACAGAAGGTGCAGCTCAATAGCTGATTCAGCAGAAATTCCCGCGCGAAAGTATATACATTCGTACTATATATGTCCAAAGTTGTCACTATGCTGGACTTCATCATTGCTGCCGATACAAAGAATATTGAGCAAGGTACTTGGTGCGTTGACTTTCCTCAAACACTAACGCTCGATACTCAGCATGGTACTGCTATATATCAGATTGCTCCTTGCTCTAGGGCTATGTCTCCAGGCTTCTGGTCAGGACAACCTAGGCCATAGCAACGGCTACATGACATTGATGATGAAGAACTTCAATACTCAAATCGTACGCAACGCGCAAGTCCTCGTGTCTGAAACCAGCTGGAGACACCTTCGACTTCCTTCCCTTCGACTCCCTTTCCAAACAAGCTCCAAACGGCCAGTACCATTTCGGAAACGTCACTGTTCGGTATCGTCATAACTCTACTACCACTTGGATCGATGGCAACTACTCTTCAGCTTGCAATCCATTCGAGCCGGTAGCCACTTGAGCACTGGCGGCTTCGCTGCTCACACCAACTCTGCCGACCGAACCTCTCAACATAGCGCGGGACTGGCTGGAGAGCAAAGCTCAACAGCATCTTCACTAACCGCTTGGCGACCGATATTCGGCGGTTATGTCGGCTATACAGTCTACCAAAGCGATAAGAAAGTGATAGATGGCCGGGGAACAATACACAACCTCTCTCACGTCTTTGATGCAGAGGCAATAGGAGCATGGAAAGGGCTTCAAGCTGCACTTGGGAATCCTGCTATGAGGGGTAATAGGATATGGATGTGCATCGACAGCACCTCAGTAATATGGTGCCTGAGGGGTAACGCATCAGACTCGTCGCAATGGGCCTTTCATAACTGCCAAGATATTTTCCTCTCAGCGGACATCAGAACCAAGTGATCGCCCGGTCATATGGGGATCAGAAGAAATGAAAAGGCAGATGCCTTAGCTAGTATTGCAGCCAATCCCCAGCGACCAGTACCGTGTACGGAACTCTTATCGAATGAACCTACAGTCTGTGGCATTCGATCGTATGCTAGAGAGATCAAACGCAGCGCAGCCCTCACCTGGTGGGAGACAGCGTCTTCGAGACTATCGGTACAGTACCGAAGATGGGAATTGACCTACGTGGCGAAACCCCTTCCTGAGCTGGATCTACCACGGTCCACACTACATCGGTTACTAGCAGTGCGAATCGGGCATGTTGACTTCAGCTGGTACCACACTAAGTTCAACCATGATAATGCGACCCTGAAGTGCAGCTGCGGTATGCCCAAAACACCGGATCATCTTGTACACTGTAAGAAGATCTTCAGATATCTGCACAATTGGCCTTTTAAGCCAAAAAGGCCTTCTAGGAATTCGTCAGAGGGATGATCCTATATTAAACGGCTCATAGAGGAGCCACAGAGATTTGCAGAGTTTCTACAACTCACTAATTTCTACACAAAAGTGTGCACTCGGTAGCAGGGGCTAGAACCCTCTACTTGCACAGCTAAACTTCCTTTGTCTCCTGTTTTCTTTGGTACCTTTAACAATCACCTCTATTGTATACACTCCACTCAACAGGTCTCCCTCGGAGTCCCTTTTATAGGCTGCTTTCTGCGGGCCAAGGCACTGGGCTGAATTCCTTATCATTCGAACACACAGTTCTTCTTCATTGGAGCCTACAAGCAGAGGAAAGCCCCTCTCACTTTCTACTGTAGCCTCCCCAACCGCCGGGGGAGGTCTTTTTATGTAATAGCAGAAGACATACGAACCCTCCTGCTTGCTCCACTGACTTGCTTTCTGGCATATTCTTGTATGTAAATCACTAGCTTAGCACGTCCTAATACCCATCGGGAGGTCTCCACAAAGGACGAAAATAATCATCATCATCATCGGCGGCTATGTCCTCTGATCAACTCTTACGTCGGCATGCATGCTGGCTACATTCGTGCGACTCTGTTATCAAGGAACAGCTCTGGTTTTGTTGTGACTCTGCTGAACTCCACCGGCTTCGAAACCTATCGCAAGCTAGCCGAGAAATATTACTCGGGCACAGGCTATGGAAGCCAGATGTTTGAAGGTCTCTGAGTGGCAGGCCTTGACCAAGGCGTATGCGGAGAAAGAATGGGATGGCAATAACCCATGGAATATGCCATCGTCGCGAATCCTCAATCCTCAAGAATCCATCCAGTTCGGACTGAATTCTTTTTTTGCGGATAAGGGGGACGTTCGGGATACCAATGCCACAGTTGGAAGTACCGGAGCCCTTGTGGCGCTTGCGATGCCAGGACATATTATTCCTAGAGGCTCTTCGGTAGAACTATTCCTTCAGTCGTCATCGAATTAATGTTCTGCCTACAAGTACAAGTTCACCAGGAGCTTTGAGCATCACCCAACTGGCAGTGGGATCGTACTCTATCACTCTTTCAGCTTCCGCTTCGGAGAAAGTACGTCTGACTGTGCAATACATTGACAGCAAAGTCCAAACATTTCACTACTACGTGAAAAATTCCGGAACTGAGGCGGTCAGCAACCATGGGAACTTCACCACCGCACAGTTGTTCGATTGGAGCTTTTCGACTGGCCATCTTGGACGTCCTGGAACAAAGCCTCGGCATATGCGACTGATC